ATGTATAAACAATTTAATAATCATTGAAATTTATCATCACAAACGAGTGAATATTGGAAATAGAACTACTTGTCACTTGATGGAATTATAACAAGTAGGATATACAATATATATTAATCTGCCTTAAACAATATTGGATATGGGACAAATATTCATGAAAAACCAAGTTACAACACGAGAAGTAGCTAGCAGTGAAATCCAGGACGCGCGATCCGTTCTATTTGAGACTCGTCAGCTGGATGTACATGCATCTCAGAGTCGATGTTCATTCTGGTACTCCAACCCAGTACCGTTCGCTTCAAACACCATAGCGTTATCTACATAGCTGATCAATCGCAGTTCTCGTCATTATTGGAAAGATTCAAGTAAACAATACCAAGTGAATTTAAACATTTTTGTTATTATGTTAGCGGAATAATGATGATTATTTGAGTTATGTTACGTGTTATTTTACTATTCTTACACGACATTAGAAAGACAAAAACTAGGATTTATATATGGTTACTGATCAGCCAGTCACTTGAAACCTAGAACCCGGTACGTATGTATATCGGTCCAAGTTGACATACCCCACTAGCGAAGAGAAATGAAATTCTTAGAACAAATCCCAGAGTAGTAGAGGAAGTAACAGTATTAGTGGTAATAGAAGAGGCTAAGCATCGAAGATAGGATTTTAAATTAGTGAAATAAATAACCCATGCAGATGGATGCACCTGCGTCATTGTAAACGATTTTGAACCACGTCATTTGAAGTCTTTAACTATTGGTTATGATAACCACGCGGACACCAACCAGGTAGTCTAACCTATTAACGTGGCTAATCCCAATTGTCAATTACGTCATGGACCGATGAAACGTTTTGGTTTGGCCACCCTTGGCTTTCCTCCAGTCTACTACACCAGAAAACATTTCCCATCGAAGTAGGCGGCGATTAGGCATACGTTGAGCACCTCAGTTGATAAAAATTTAATACCTCATCAATCGATTTCCTATCTTTATCTAGTTCTCTATTCCTAAATCAGGCATTGCTTACTCCGCGATCCTAAAATGAACGAGTAATGCTTCGTAGACACATGATGGAATACCAGTAACCTACGAATATCCTCTATTGTTAATGGCCATGTTTCAGATCTATAAAGTAGGATGGGGCGAACTGCTGCGCAGTAAGCTCTCCTTTTGGTTGGAAGACAAATATCTCGCCTACGCCACAAGTTGGCGAAAGCCAATTGAGCCTCCTGAATCCGTTCCGAGATTCCGTCAGATACTTGGCCGTCAGGACTGACGGGACTCCTAAGGACAGTGGAACGGTTAATATGTTCAACTACTTCACTCCCTATCATTAATCCAGGAGCTGACACAGGCCAATCCTGAAGTAATATTTTGCATTCGGGGAGAGAATCTCATTCCAAACATTACATTGTTGTTCAATGTGGTCAGAGGACTGCATTTTGTCATCAACTTCACTAAATAGAACTACATTTGCGTATCTCTAAAAGCATGTTTATGATCAAATTGAATAGAAATGGAGAAAGCGGACAACTCTGGTGAACATCGCTTGAAGTAATCAGTCCGGATGACACATCGCCATAAGCCGGCTCGATCATTAGTTTTCGAGTGGAGAGTCTATACAAGTTTGATGTACTTCTTTGATACGCCGTTCAAAGACAAACATTACCACAAAACACCTGTAAACAGAGTTGAACGCTGTCTCAAGGTCAATAAATACAGATTTAGCTGGGTGTCCGTAAGAATGCCTATTTTTTAAAACCTGAGGAAGAGTTATTACCTAGTTTACACACCCATATCCAGTCTTGAAACCAGCCTTGTTTCCAACTGCTCGCTCTTTACGAGCCCTAAATTAGCATTAAAGGATCATCATTGTTAACAATTTAAACACTATACTGATCAAACTGGATCCTTCGTGATTGTGATAGGAGGATTTTTGTCTCTTATTACAGCGATCGAGACCAGTCATAGGAGATTACGTCCAGATTCTGTCTATGATCTCATTTAATCTAACTGCCAAAACTGCACCACCATCTTTAAAAATATTCGAGGTTAATCCATCAGGTCATGGTGCTCTCCCTCGTCTTACATTGCCTACAGCCTTTTCAACCTCACTACGAGTTGAAGGACTTTCATCAAATCGTCATTTAAATTACTTAGAAATGGTGGATAACTGAGGTTCAGTAGAACTGTCTTCTAAAGTATTCTGCTCACCAGTCCAATCTCCTACTTTGGGTAAATGACAGTCCTGGTCCTTTCCGATAGTCTCGCTAACAAACGAAATTTCAATATTTGATTTTTTATAAGTCTGGATACTTTTTAACTGTTACTTATTGCCGCTGTCGTTTCTTTCTTTTGCGTTCGCTACCCACCACTTTTCACAATCATCGGGTAGGGTTTTCTTGCCCACTAACTCTAACCATCTAACATTTGAACAATAAATAATCAACAGTTGTAAATCTACTGACGGCTGGAAGTTAGGATCGGTCTATGTTGTACAGTGTTTAGTTATTCAAATGGAGTGATAATTAATGGATTATTTTTACACAGCTATGTGCACAACCTAAAGATAACAATAAACAATGTTACAGAATATATACGAGTTATTATAAAAAAGAAATGAAGAAACATTACATAATTACAATTTTAGAGAAATCATAACATTTCTGTATAACATGAAGATTTCTTATTTTCCGAAATCTTTCTTTTTTCAAGAAAAAAAGTTATTAAAATAATGAAAGCACCACGAACAATTATGCAGTATTTATTTTAGCTAAATTATAAGTCACTTTCTTACTTTTTTACTACACTTGCAGTGTATCAACAATAAAAATAATCTCTTTGATTTGTATATCTTCTCTATACACAAAGCGTTGGAGATTTAGATATAAATCAAATCATGAATACAATGTGTAGTGGATTTTTTTTCAAATCAACTTCTGACAGTAAATTATTTGGATTTCTTTCCCATAAATAAACGGATACAAACCAGGTAGAAAAAAAATGTACTGAGTAAAGAATAGAAAAACAAACATACAAGTTACAATAAATTCGTGAGCAAAGGCAAGTTAGCCTAAATTGGCAAGGTTAATCAGTATGTATATATTCTATTGTAATCAACACGGGGTGGTCATGGTAGTGTTATTTATAGTAGTTTAGTCTTTCTAATACTTTTAAACCTTTTTCTTCGTATTCAGCACGAGTTAACCATGTAGTACGTCGGTCATTTTTCATAATATTTGCCAAAACTGATCCACCTATAAATACCATATGTTTTCTTTGAGGTGGGGCTTCAATGCACATCTTGAATTTCTGAGAAAAAAAATAATGAATTGACAAAGTTGAACAAACTGAAAATAATTATCTTTATTATTGAAATGAACTCCTAAATTGAATAAAGGCACCAAAAATGAATTATCTTTACTATGCAATATAGAGTCGAGATAAACATCAGTATGAACGGCGCAAAATATATTGTTTTATCCTATTATTAAAAATAATAATAAAATTACTGTGCATTTGAAATCATTCTTACACTAAATGAATTTTGTAAGTTTTCTTCTGTGTGATTAAAGATTGACTGATCGCATCCATTATGGAGACAAGATCAAACAATTCATACATAAATCTAGTTCAAGTCATTAGTAGAAAGAAATATAAATTTACTTAAATGTAACTACAGAAATCAGTACTAAAGATTCTGTTGATAACACAATGACTTAAAGATTAATTTCAATGATATACGTACATTTATTTCGAAATTCTTTTTAAACTAGTCAAACACTGAATATCAGGGACCACAAAAAATTGATATTTTGTCCTACTACTTATCCGAGGTCATACAAACTCAAAAGCAGTGTTACGCATTGAAAAATAAACCAATAGATGGAGATCCATTGGTCTGAAGGTTAAGATTGAGCCACAAATTTGAACGTCCTCAATTCGGTCCCCGGTGGGATCGTGATAGACGAGAACTGCCGAGGAGTTTTATACTGAGATGAAACAATTCTCCAGTGCCTTGTGATTTCTTGGGGTTAATACGTGATGCAAACGAGAATAAATCCCTCTACAAAACCCTACAGTAAGTAATAACCTCAAACAGACAAGAAAATACATTAAAAGATATTCGGGTGATAGTAGTGTAATGAATGAGAACACAGATGGGGACGACCAATGTATTTAAATACAAAATTACAAAATGTCTTGGTAAAATATGAGAACCGTACACTGAATACTTCATTTGCAAATTTCCATCAATTGTTACAAACTTCATCGTTCCTTCATTGCCATAACAATTACTCTTTGTTCCCGTTCTCTTCAATTCCATCATCCCAACCTTCTGTTGCCAGGTTTTCTACTTCTGATTGACGATACATACTACTTATGTCGACAGACATAAGTAACATACGTCACAGTAGTTGCTGCTGTTATTACTGAGTAAGTGAATTTACCAACCTTCAATTCAATGTCTAAATCTACCTACATTGTTTTTAGAAATTAATGATTATGTGACTTGATTTTGTATTTCGACTTCACTACAACTTCGACAAAGCTACCTCTAGAGTAAATATATAATATTTCAAGTTGGTCAGTGATCATGTGCAATATATGTTTTAAAGTATTTTATTCAATGGCGGTTCATGACTAAAATTCAATTAACAAACTACATTGAAGACTAAGTTTGAATTTAAAACTTTTAACCATTGTCTCTATTTTACATAACTGCGATACTTAAAAAGTAGTATTCACAATTGAATGCATGTAGTCTTCTTGTCTTTGGTGCTTATACCTCACAGATATACAAGCCACTGTGTATATTGATTTTTCTTGCTTGATGAGAACCTATTCACTTATTATAAATATTGTTAAATATGTGATGATTACTTATTATTAGCAGTACATAGACAAAAACATACGAAATCATAATATTTCATCCATGAACTACTTTAAAAATATTGAGAAAGTGACGAATCGATAACTATGATCTAATAAGCACAGAATCAATGAACAATCAATCTCATATTGTATCCTTCTCATTACGCTCAAATAATCAGATGTTATCGGATAAAGTTAAATTCAGTTTACTGATTCTACTGAATTAAAACATTTGAGAGACTTGAGTTGAGGCAACTAAAAGTAATACGTGTATTGGAAATATATATTGGGAACAATAATAGACAAACAGAAAATTTATAACTAAAGCGAATACGATAAAGTGGTATTCTTGGATATTCAATATTTCATTTTATGATTTTTTAAATTTAATAGTTGAATTCATGAGTCAATTAAAGCTAGACCACTATGGAAAACCTGGAAGCACTGGAGGGCCGTTTCGTTTTAGTACAGGACTCCTCAGCAGTAAGCATCCACGATCCCGCTCGCGGGATTCGAACGCAGGACCTATCGGTCTCGCGCACGGACGCTTGACCTCTAGACCAATGAGCCAGCATCCAACGGTGTTAGTGTCTAACTTGAACCAATCCACGAAAATGCACCACCGTCCACTGTTGTCTTCAGTGAATTACTATCTTACAACAGACCCGGTTGAACTCCACTGGTCACGACCCGTTTCATCCTGTTTGGGACTCGTCATCTGGATGTACATGCATCCCAGAGTTTAAGTAACCAATACAAAAATGAATCAAAACTTCACCACAATTGCACAAGCTAGTGGCTCTCTGGACTCAGTAGCTAAGTGGGTAACGCGATGGCATTTGAAGCGAACGGTATTGGATTCGAGTCTCGGAGTGAACATCAACTCTGAGACCCAGGAGTATCCGGTTAACGAATCCTAAATAGGATGAAATGTGATTCCTGGGTTCCACTGCTAGCCACCATCCATCTCTGCTTACTAATAATATTGTTACTAGTACTAATGATTACTAATAATAACTCTATCACTTTGGAATTCGCCCTAACAATTTCTCCTTGCTCTACTGATAGAGGCGTGGCAACTTGAACAGATGTGAAAATGTGCCAGATCCTATTTTGTGTATGACTCACTAAATGTCTGAATAAAAAAACCAATTAGGATACTTACTGCAAATCTTTCAGTATCACCTTTCAGTACATTTTGTAAATATAACTGTTTAATTTCACGTTCAAGACGACTTGGCAAACCAGGATACATTGTACTCCCACCACTTAATACTATATGCTTGTAGAATGCTGGTCTTGTATCAATATCAGCAGCTTGGATTGTATTAAATAATAATTCTGATATACCGACACCTTCACGATCGATTAGATGAGGCTGAAAGAGAGCTTCTGGTGCACCGAATAACTCACCGCCTACTTTGATAACACGTCCATCAGGTAACTGTAGTTGTTCGCAATTAAGTTTGGAAAAAAAGTAAAAACAAATAATAGATTTATTAAGATATGCTCGGCTTCGAATCAGATATTTTCCATAAAATCAAGCTCATATGAACTATTGAGGTTGTGCCATCTGTGGCACATAGATCGAAGGTTAGCTTTTTATATTGATTCAGTTTGAATTCTGTAATATATGTAGAGAGACGAAAGAAATAGAAATGGAGTGTAAATATTAATCTCCTATATGCTTAAAAATTATATAATAACAACTGCTACTATTGATGTGTCAACCTAAAAAAGTGACGGAAATATATAGTGTAAGTTAACAAAGAAGAAATCATTTACACACATAAACATTGGTACACGGGGGCACCGAATATATATGCGCCACACAGTAAAAATGACGTTGTGGAAAATGGAGGGTGGAAGAGCGACGATGAACAGAAATTAGCGTATGAGTGTCAAATAATAGTAATAATAACTAGGGAAGCAGTTCAGTTAGAAAATATACAATCAGGGAGAATCATACACTGACCACCTCTCCGCTTTTTTAAACCGGTCCCATTTTCGGCATCCGTAGGACATGCCCAAACCACTGATAGTAACACCAATTGGATTAATGTCGCTGTGCCTAACCACACGTTGCCGAACCTTTGCATTACTAATATGGTGATACCACTGGACGTCAACAATGAACAAGCATAGAGTCATCTAAAATCCTCAACTCGGAGAGTCCAGGTTTCACAAGCATACAACGAAACCGCTCTCACCGACGTGTCGTAGATCCAACCTCTTACAACCAGACTAACATCACGGTGCCAAAAATAACCCAGATTGGTGTAAGTCGCTCTGGCTTTCAATATACGTGAATCGATCTCATCACTCACTCACATATCTACTCAGATACACGAACTTCTCTACTACTTCTATCTGCTCACTACACAGGATGATTGCGGGATCAAGGTCCTGCCAATCTTGTAAAAGTACTTTGCACTTCGAAGTTGAAAATCACATACCATGCCTACGGATACTGATTGTCAACTGATTAAGTGCGGATTGCATGACTTGGGTATCATCGTGCAAACACCATGCGCACACTGAAGGTCGAAAAGCCTTTTTACAGGCAACAGATCCACAGCACTACTGCCTACATCCACCACAGCTATTTCCTGAACGGCAAGGTCGAGGAGGAATTGTGAGATTGGGCAACCCTGTCTAACCCCACTGCTCGAATGGAACAATAGAGAAAGCTTGTTATATGCCTTCACTCTGCCTGAGGCGCTTGTATATAAGACTTTTAAGATGTTAATAAACTTCTCAGGTACACCCCTCTCCAATAGACAATCCCAGAGAACAGTCTTGTCCAACGAATCGAAGGCAGCCCTAGTGTCAAGAAACACTAAGATTTTTGGCCTTTGATAAGTATGACGGTGTTCTAACATTTGGTGGAGGTTGAAGATATGATCAATACATCCTCAACCAGAACGAAAACCAGCCTGCTCCTCGCGAGTCAATCTTTCTCGTGTTTTGAACAGCCTACGAAGTATAACGGAAGCTTGGACGCAATTGGAAGTAGACTTGTCCCCCGATAGTTGTTACAGAAATGACGTGAACCCTTTTTAGAGATAGGGACAACTATCGACCCATTCCATGACGTCGGCACACTCTCTAGTTCACAGACCTTTGTAAACAACGTCGTCAGTTCCTTAGTCAGAAAGTCACCACCATCTTTAAAAAGAGCCGGAGGTAGGTCATCTGGGCCAGGTGATTTGTAGCGCTTAAAGAGTTGGAGTTCCTTGTGGACTTCCGCCTCATTAGGTGAATCAGTCGCCACCGGCCACGAAGGGTAAGACAGTCTGATTGATGTCACAGGGCCAGTCAACCAGTAGAACTGTTACTCGAAGAACTATGTCGGCCAAGAGTCGGTAGAAGCTATTCATTGGAATCCCGTCAGCCTCACAGATTTTTTCGCTCACACCAGACTTCTTGCTGCCAGTGACTCAGATGAGTTGCAAGAGCTTCCAACACTCACCAGAAGCAGTTGCTACTTCCAGCTCATTAGCAAGCTCCAACCACCAGGCTTCTTGGTCCCTACCCAAGCTTTCCACAATTCCACTACGGAACAATCTTCGGTTGTGGTCAAACTTGTGGTCGTCCGGAGTAGTCCAACGTACTTCAACGAGTTGTAAGGAGGCTGTATAAACCCAGTGCTAATAAGCGGGACGTTCCATGAAGCCGCAAGCGACGTTATTCACCATTTTCGTGGCGTCATGCAATTGAAATCTAAAAATGCTGATAGGTTGATATGGTAAGATCATACAGTTTCGTAACCAAAAGGTTTTTTAAAAAGTGCTGGATCCTTCGTCCGAAAATTACAGAAGATAATGTGAAAAACTGGCTGCTACCAGCTGAGATATTCTGACTGATTAGCTTATTAGATTACGTAAACTGTATAGACCTAATCCATTTTGTATATATTAGTGAAGTTTAAATTATTTATACATTGTTCTCAATTCGTTAGTTGGAAAAAGTGGATAGTGATCATGTGATTCGTACCAAATTGTAACACAAACAAGTCATTATGAATCTCATTATCAAAGTTTGGCTTGATAGCTTCAAATAAATTGAGCATTGAGTCGATCGTTAATGATAGAAATAATCATGAAACGTCAGATGTTTGACTTCTCACTCATTAGGACTTTATAAATATGTTATTTGTATTGTGTATTTACGGAGACATATTTTACTCATCTTTTTTAAATTAATGAGTCTGAAAGTTATTTGTGGAATTGTTATCAATTATTTCCATTTCATATATGTGTCAGCAACTGTTAGTGCACATAACCTCACAAGTAACAGAGGGGTGGGATTGTGACTAAGGGAGTTTGTTTTCGACCACTAGATTATATGTTCGAATTCGTTACATCTTTTAGTATTACCGACCCTTACACAAAGAATATGACTTAAAGCCAAGTAAATAAACCTGTATCACAGTTACCAATGAAGCCAGACATTAACAGTAAGCAATTGCTAAAAGTATCCAGTTATGATTTGGTTAACTATTCATATGACCCTCACAATTATATTCAGAATATGATGTGTCATATATTGATATTTGATAAAATAGGACAGGTATCTTATGTTTTTATGATAAATAAACTAATGAAAACCGTATAAATTCGTTAGTCAATTAATTTTCAAGTGATATTTTAAAATTAATCACGAAAACATAGTTGTTTAGGCGATTAGTGACTTTTGACTGGAAAATTGTCATTATGTTGAATATATATGGCGTAGACTATTTGACTTATACACAACTATCAATCTCATGTTCAGTAGTCAAGTTAAATGTCATTATTAGCGTTATACGTAGAAACAATTAATTGAGATTAAACCGATCTTAAATCAATCAGAGATACAAAATGATAATGTATAATCGTTTTCTAAAAGTTATCGATTTACAGGTTTACAATACTTGTCTGTATAATTTGGAAATTTTCACTTTACAGTATGAAATCATACTTATACCTATTTTTTAAATTAACAATCCCAAAATAAAAATCTACTTCACTTAGAACAAATTTTCTATTTTTGTGTCTTGAATGACAACGTTTCCTACACTTGGTTTCGTAATAACCGTACGTAACTAACAAGCAAGCCTCTAGAATCCCCAACTTTTCTCGAACATGAAATAATTTGAGTCAAAGTCACATAAGAGCAAAACAGTCAATGCACCTCTTCCCTAGTTTTCATTGGTGTTTTAACTGACATCAATTCGTAACTTAAAATATCTTTGTTATTCAAAACTAATACGTTTCATAGCACTCAAGAAATAAACTATACATAAAATTAGTCCTTTTGAAAAGAACTCAAGTTCAAACAAATCAGTACCATGGTGATAATCAATACATTCTAAGAACAATGTACTATAATGAAATAATTCATCTAATTAGCACCATATATATTGATTTCAATAAAATTTATTAAAATGTTACCTGTGCAATTTAATCAAGAGAATAGAACAGTGGTGACAAGTGACCTTGAGATCAAGGTCAAGAAGAGCAAAAAACACAATCGACAAGGCAGGTTAGTAGTAAATCAATAAACAGAGAAGCATAGTGACTATTCAAGTAATAATAATAGTAATTAATAATAATAATAATAATTCATATGATACATGTAAGAATGGATGCTTGTGATGTCTTATTGAAACAAAAGTAGGAGTCGATGATATCGTATAGGAAGGCTATAAAAACTTTACAGCTAATCCAATCTATTTAGAAAATGCAACACCACCAAAAGCATTCAACTTGAACAGATATGAATCTCTTCAATTATTTCACAGATGAATGTATACACAAAGTTCTGAAAATAAGTCAGTTAATTTATATAAAAGGCAAAGTTATGAAGAAGAAAATATGACTCATATATATTGGCGGTTTTGGTGATATGCTTAATTTTTAATAAATCTGACTGATCATTATGGTTGAGAAACCGCTGAAAAGCATAGCGTTACAAAACAATTACTTTATTATAACTTAGAAGACTTAAGCAACATCTCCTATCAATCTTTTTAAAAAATTAAATCTTGATGAGCTTGTTACTGTTCATCTGTTGAATAAAAGCATAATAAATTAAGTTTATCAGATTCTGGATAACAGGGAGATAGTATGGAAATTATCCATTGATATGAGCCAATCAGTTTATATGCCCCTGAGAAGTGGAAACTTTACTAGCTGGCAATATATAATGTCTGTTTTCTAAACTATTACAGTCATTGTGAAATCATTGGGGAGAAAACGTTTATAAGAAGTTTACTTTAAAATATATCAAACCGTTAGTAATATATAGCTAATAAAATAAACTAGCATATGGTGCAAGTAATATAGCTTCTTTAATATGTTATTGGGAAGAAAGTATCTAGTACCTTACTATTGTATATTATCTTTAGGGATATTTCTTTTTAAACTGAAGCAATAACTTCCAGGTTTTTCATGGTGGTCTAGCTTCAACTGATTCATGATCTCAACCATTTAAAGCAATAACTGTTTACTCAGCTTTTACAAATAGTATTTTTGCTAGTCGTTAATTAATATAATGCTTTTCAGTTCCTCAGCGTGATTTCCAGTAAAGATTACTGGTCTAAAGTCGTCCACCGCAGTCAATAAACGTAACTTGCCAAGTGCAGGTCCATGTATTTGGATTATTTAAGCTGCGTTGTTTATTTGAGGGCTATTCAGTTGCTTAAACCGAAACAGTTAGAGATTATATTAAGCCTGTAACCTATTGGTTGGAAGCCGCGTGGTTATTAACCACTAAGCCATTAATTTCAAATGGTCAGTAAATACAACATCTTGATACTAAAATTTAACATGACAGATATTGGTATTAATATATGGAGATAAATGATAAAACCTTTCTTTTTTAAGAAGTTTAGTGAATAAAGGGCTGCTATGAAAAAAACAAGAATAACAAGTGTTAACTCGATCCATTTAGGACAGAATAGTTGGACTTTTCAATTTCGCATATTGAGAGGATTAAAAAATAAGCTGATTCATGTAAAGTTAACTGTAAATAGATTATCTCTAATTATTATGAAAAATACCCTCCATTTTAACATTAATACGACTAGTATTTTTATCATTGAAAAATCTCAGCAAAGACAACATCAAGATTTACCTTCAGATTATAAGATGACCAGATTATCTCTTCATTCTCAACCATAAAATATCAAGATTTCAATATTTTGAAAATAGTATATATATATATATATATATATATATATATATATATATATATATATATATATATATATATATATATATATATATATATATATATATATATATATATATATATATATATATATATATATATACAAAATATTGCATATGTGCACAATATGCATGATGGTAAATGTTTATAAATCGAAATTAAAATCTTGATTACATTGAAAGTGAAAACATTCGACTGGTTAGACAAAAACCTTTACCTGTTATTATTTTTTATTGTTAATTTACTCAATAGAATTCGATTATCATCCACGTTAAAATATAGGTTTCGCACATGTTAATAACATTTTACTACTACTATTTACTACTGTACTAATAGTGTAAACACATTACCTTTGGAATATCGATATTCACTGATCTCTCACAAATGTAGCCAGCATACTAGATTTTATTATAATTTAATATAAACCACCTGTTAATTTTTGGTGAATAATTTACGAGACAATCAAATAGTCTAATTGCAACACTAGATGGTGCTAACAACTTCACTTTTTAAAGTGAATCTATTTGAAGACAAGATTAAATAATGAGCTCTAAATGAGTCAAACGACTGTCTATTAATAACTAATTTAATCTGTTTACTAAGTATATGAGGTTATGTGATCGATTTCGGATTATACTTTAGTTGTATGAGGGCTAATGATACCAACCTGTTAGCTAAATTGAAGCAGGAATTGGTAGCTTAGTGATTAAAGAATCCAGCGCCTAACCACACTAGACAGCAGATTTCAAATCCACCTCCATCTAATTGCACTTGAACAGAGAGTAGTATCACTAGCCCTCATTCCTTAAAAGTAAACACAAGGACTTGTACTTAGTGTGTTAATTTGAGAGTTTGTTACATTATATCAAGGTACGAACGACTGAAAGACTCTTCTAATACGAAACGGTATCTATGCAAATTAGACTCCCCACTTACGTCGGTTTGTGTAACCGGGTAGTACCATCAACCCTCACACTTAGAGTATGGCTCAATACCAAACACCTGGTGAAAGTTAACTTTAAAAAATATGCAGTAATACTTCAGAGTTAATAATCCACTCAAGCATAAGAGGGACAGCAAAAGAAACGTTCAAGAGACCTTTAAAATTCCCAAAAGAATTCAGAAATGTAATGCAACCATTCTACTTTCTATGTTAAAAATAGTTATAAAACTTGCAGTTTTAAATAAAGTTCAAATAAATTGAAAAATATCACAAAGATCTCCGGGTTACAGAGTTTTAACTGAGCTTCTACTTTGGTTTGAACGATCAGTTACTACCGTTAGCTTTAACATAAAAAATACAATTTAGAGCTGAGTACATAAATCTACGCTTCGTGAGAAATTTGCTTATGTTAACTAATAACTGTCATTTAACTGACCGTGTATTTTTTCACCAAAACTGTTGTATCCAGAGCTAGATTCTGCTCCTGTTCCACGTCGTACGCCACATAACATAACTTCTCTTTCATTTGCCGGATTGTTTCAAAATCTGCTGTTTGGTTGAATGCATAACCACGCAGTAACAAGAGCTGGTACGAAAAAAAATGAAAAAATATAAGAAACCAAATTAAAAACGAATCACTAAACCAGGTAATAATAAATAGATTTTAATGATATCCCAATGAATAGAAAGTTGTATTTCTAGCGTTTCATGGCTTAATGTAAGTTACTTGTTCAGAGTAAATGAATGACCAAAATGAAACTAACACAAGTTTATATAGTACAAAGAATATTTTTAGTACAGCCAAAATCATAATAGGTCTGAACACGTCGTGCTACACTAGACTAGGTGTAATGTTAACCTATGATAGAGAAAATAAACCACGTTTCCAATCTTAACAATTTAATGATGACATGATATATTTGAGTGATAACACTTCGAACTACCTGATAGATCATCTGCCATTACATCAAAGTGCAACAAAGGTCAAATCGTATAAACATGAAAGCAAGACCAAAAATGTTTATAAGCAATACATTTTATAAAATTAAACTTACAGTGAAGGAAAGAACGGAAAATATGTTACGACACAAACACTAACATAGGTATAAGACACCATATCACAAACAGATGGAAAGATGATGGAATAAGTATCTTAGTAGTTTCAAAAAGAGTTGAATTCCTAAGCTCCTCTAAGAACAATCTAAAACAATCATCTTCCTCTGTCAAAACCTATAACGAATAGATGTCAAAACAGCTTTCAAATTTTTATAGGTCAATTGTTAGGAATTCAACCTCAAGTTTATGAAAACTTCAATCATAAAGAACTAAAGTCAAGATTTAGGTGTTCATAAAAACCTTGTTTTCATATCAAACATGGCCTGACAATCCTTAACTCAATTTTAGTCTGAAAGATAGATACTAGAATTCATATCCTTCCTTTGCTATTCATTATCTCTCTCATTATTATATTCCCAACAATTAAAATTTATCCACTTACCTGTATTAATTCTCACATAAAGTTCTCATAAACAAATGTATGTTCAAATAAATAGAAATATATCATACAAAAATACAATATATTTTTTTCGGATCAAAATTATTTTTTATCATAATATTCAAAATACTGTTGTTGTTTTTCTATGCTAACACTTTCCCAATCTCCAATTAAACTGGTTTTGCCTTTTATCATTCTGAAAGACAGAATGAGTTTCCAAGTATTCAATATTTCAGAAAAAACTAACATTTTTTAATCAACGGTGACATTTACAATAAACAAAACCATCAGTATGGGGTTTTAGAGATAATGGAGTTTTTTATTGAGATCATAAACTGATTGCTGTTAGACCACCACTGAAAACCTGGAAGCACTGGACGGCCGTTTCGTGGATGCGCACTGCCGAGCAGTCTCACAATAGGACAAAACGGCCGTCCAGTGCTTCCAGGTTTTCAATGGTGGTCTAACATCAATCGGTTCATGATCCCAATAAAAAAACCACATTAAACTACTTTGGAGAAAGAAACAATGACACGAGATTTTAACGAGAAACTTCGAAACACAACACTGATATGTTGGCCTCCCATTTAAATTAGTACAGGTATCTCGTTTTAAATTTCGCTATCCCCATTGTGACGCAGACAAAAGAATAGTTCTACTTGAAGTACATGCGGTAGCCTACTGCTAATTATCTTAACTTGTAGTTAATGTAAACAATCTTTTTATATTCACGCCTTGGTTAAAATCGGCTGTTACTACTACCCAGTCAAAAATCATGTAGAACCCGGTACAAGTTCCTATTGGTCCAAGTCGGCACCATTCAAACTGATACAACAACAGGAAATTCAATTAACAAAACTGGGGGAGTGGCAAGCTAAATATATTTCAAAGGGAATAAATGACGTTTTATGATAAAAAGAATTATGAAATAATAACACACTCGAGATTAAAAAAAAAAGATAAAGGATAAGTGCATCTGGACCATTGATCCCTAATTCGAGTCATGTTTCTTGAAATCCCGATTCTTCTACGAATGCCAATAGGAAGGTACAAAACTTTCGACACGCCTCAGAGTGACGACTAATGAGTAGTGCTATTTCGGTTGTACAACCCTAATCCTTCTTGAAACTTATTGCTATTATGGATACATTACATAATTTCACCACATGACATTGGTGGATTTTGGAATATAAATTGAATGGCAGGCTATCGTTATGACTCTATAGGAACGGAATTTTGAAAAAACCGGAAAAAGACGCCATTCTATTATGTCGACCTTCTAGTTGTACAGTGAAATCATTTGTTCAGATGGATGGAACTGAGAAACTAGAGTTTTGAAAGACCTTAAAGTTTTTGATAGGACAGAGCTTTTATGTAATTCAGGCAGTAGTTAATGAGTGAATAAGCATCAGTATTTCAATCTTTCAATTTATGCAATGCCGTCCAATTGAATAGATCAAAGTGAGAGGCTCACTTTCTGCTCCCAAAATTAACACTCCTCCAAAATCTGCAAGATTATAGAAATCGGAACTCAAATCCATGGACAAATAACGAGTGGAGTATCTAGATACATCACATTCCTATATCGATTCAGCACACTTCATTGGGGTTTGGAAATCTACAACTCTTAGAATATTATATTATATTAATTTATTTGGCAGCAGATACAAAATATGCATGTGATGTGTTTGAACGTTAATAGGACAGTCATCAAAGAGGAAGAATATATTTGTAAAATCTCAGCGAAAGAATTTTAAGTAAATCCAACGTTTCGCCTGACAATCCGGTCCAAGATTTTCAAGGAAATTATAATCGAACGACAGAATTACCGAATATTCGTTTGAATCTAGGATAATTATAACCTATTATTCTTTCTTATCGATCCATGTCCTCGGTAATTTTTATATCTTTCTCTTTTGTTAGACTTTATTTTAGAGGAAATGTGACAATCTGAATCGATGTATTTTCGTGAAAGATTTTTCCATCGAATATTCCTCACATTAACTCGGCGCCCAAATATTGTGAAAATATTGGTTTAAATTTAGACGAAAGTTCTTATTTAGTGAATAGGATAGGAATCAAGAAATTTAAATTAGTGATATAAAAAGCCCAAGTAGAATTTAGAAACTCTGAATCTGTGGGAAAACAAAGAATGGATGCACCTGGGCTGCTGCAAACGATTTTGAACCACGCTATTCAAAGTCTCTAACCATTGGTTACAAGTCCCGTGGACCTCAACTGTGTGAAAATTCGTAAAATTATATAAATATTTAACTTAAATACACTTGCTTTAATAAGGTAGCGTGTTATGTCGCGACCGGCGACGTTCAAACGTCTTGTTAAATGCGGCAAAGAGAGTCCATCGTAAACTGGGCATATGTGAGTAACGCCATCACCCGAATCAACAACAACCCCCGTCATGAGACCTTGTGAAGCAAATCGGGGATAAAAAAAAATATACAACAAACTTTTCCAATTAATCAGTAAGCATAAAAAAGACAAGTAACACTACCGTTTAAGAGTATTTAAAAACATTTTCACAAATGCCGACAATCTTGTAAATAATACCATAAAGTTAGGATGACGTTTACACAAAAAAATAGTTGGTTGCTAAGAGTCTACATAAATTCTACACCATTTTTGTCCGAAAGAAAGTACATTAATCTATTCCGGATCGAAATAAATTTCCGAATAAATCGTCTTAAAAAATTAGAAGGCAGTTTTTAAACATTTTCGTACAAATTTTAATAAAAACGTCATTTTTTGAACATTAGTACAGTACTGACAAGAGATATATGCATGTCGATGGAAAAACCTTTCACGGAAATACATCGATTCAGATTGTCACACTTCCTCTAAAATAAAGAGTCTAACAAAACAGAAGGATATAAAAATTACCGAGGACATGGATCGATCAGAAAGAATAAGAGGTTATAATTATCCTAGATTCAAACGAATGGTAGGTTATATGTACCGCAGTGACCTCAACCCTAACATTCTCAGCATTTTGGTCAGTCAGTGAGTCAGCTACAATGTAGGACCAGGCACATATGTGCATCAGTCCAAGTTGACATACCTCATTAGCACAAGATGAACAAATCCATAGAACTAGTTACTTCAATAGCAGTAATATATAAAAGAAAGATTGTGTATAAGCATATAGTACAGGAAGAAAGAATTAATTTGTAGAAATAAAAGTATAAAGCAATGTTAATCTCACGGTTTAAGTGCAGAAAAAGAGTGAAGACAACAACACCACTGTGATCGATTATGTGCCATGTCACCCACAGTTTCAAACCATTGGTTACGATGGTCACGTGGACCGCAACCAAGTAGTCTGCATCTACCGGAATGGCTCAGAACAAAAGTCAGTGACTTCAACGACTGATGTCACGTTTTGGTTTGGCCGCCCTAATAATCTTCCAACCATTCCCAACACTAGTCAGTATTGCGCGTCCTGATAATAGGTGTTCAGGCATACGTAGCACGTGGCCCAATCATCCCAGTTGATGAAGATTTACCACTTCATCAACTGATTTACCATCATTCCATCATACTCTGTATCTAACCTCACTACTACTCACCCGATAATCCCGGCAGATGCGAGCAGTATTTCTAAGGCATCTGTGGTCAAATACTTGTAGCTTACGAGTACGTTCTACTGTTAATGGCCACGTTTCGCAGCCGTAAAGTAAAACAGAACGAACTGCCGCCCAGTATACTTGTTTTTTTATTGATAGAAGGATATATCACCTTCGCCATAGGTGATGTAGGTTAGCAAAAGCCGAACGCGCTTTCTGAATCCGTGCAGAGATTTCGTCAGACACCATTACGGCTGATCGACGCGCTCGACTACTTCACTCTCTATCCTTAGTTGAGGTGTTGACGAAGGCCAGTCTAATTGTTCATTATTACGACTAAAATTTAAATTATAAGGGCATTATTTAACTAGCTAGAAATATGGTTACACTCTTCATATATGAAATAGTCTATCTTAACTTGTTCTTACGGTTTAGCCACAGAACATTAGGATATGTTGCTAATCACTCAGTAGACTGGGAAAGACCATGATTTACGGACGAACCAATCAGAATTAACAAGGCTGTTGTAAATTGTGTAAAATCCGATTACAGATATGGCTTAATAGCATTGAAATTATAGTTGATATCAGTTAGTGACGAAAACTTACTCTAGTTCCTAACCCTAACTCTTAACTTTTAGTCCTTAAGTTAATCTCTCACTTAAGTGACTGAAACTTTTCAAGATCACCTTAGTTTCACTCAATGGTCGTCCATAGGTTATAGTCACACCGTAGGTTGCTTTTAAAACCTAACCTAGTACAAAACAATCCCAACAATTTTCATACAACCAGGTGCTTGATATTCTCGACAAAAAAAGCCTTCGTGATTATGAGGACGTATATCAAGTTCCAACAAGTTACTGTAGACTCGGAAACGTTTACAGATAGATGTTTTACTAACGAAACAAAGCTTGATAAAATTCACTCCAATCAAAAACAATATTGTGGACCGGAAAACCTTTAAGACACATGATCAACGCCTGCAAAAGTATGGTAAGTTGAGTCATTATTGGCGAATTTAATTTACTGAACTGTCTTACAGCCATTACCTGTGGGACTGATTAAATTATTTACATAACTCGAAAGAAAATAAAGATTATTGAGTGCTGATAACTAGCTAACCCGTTTCCGTAGAATACCCGAAACACTTTTGAGTCATGGTCTGTCAGATCACAATGTAACAGGCACACAGCTTACAACACTTTTACAGAAGTTATAAGTGGTAGCTTACCTTGGGCGTAAAGAGTCAATGTCGCTTGTATGGCAATGAATAGTGCGTTAAAACCATATTTTTCAAACATTACTTCAACCATCTTCTCTCTGTTACGCAATGGATTGAGAGGAGGCTCTGTTAACAAAATCTTTGCATGTTTGGGATCAATGTTCATCTTTTTTGGACCGAATATGTAATCATATAAATGGATCATATCGTCCCAATTTCTAACAATACCGTTCTCCAGTGGATAACTTAATTCCAACATCTGTCTTAATTCACTTGCTTCATCACCTATCATAAGATCCTGAACTTCCAAATTGCCCACGCGAGAAGTTGCGCGCAATATTGGTCTCCCTATGAGTGATGGGAAAATAAATTCGGGGAAGGTGGCTCCAGCGTATCCACATTTTACAAACTGAAGGTTTACAGTAAAAGACAAGGCAGTAAACTCACTCCTGTACCATTGTCACAAACAACTATCTTATTCCCTTCAGCATCAACAGTCATTGTGTAACGTATAGTTTACAGTAGAGCGCCTTTAAAGCAAATTTTTATTTCAAATCTCAAGTATTAGTCAGAAAAATAACCAACTATTTACTCCTTATAGACGTTAACCACGTTCTTGGTGAGGGTTCTTGGTTATAAAGAAGTCAAATTCTCGCTGTAGTCCTCCAACAATAGAAAAAGCTTATGAACCTGTAAACGTAGCCTACATTGATTTTGGCAAAGCTTTTGAAAAACTTCCGCACAACTGACTGTTATATAAGCTAACAAATGTCGAGATTGGATGCAATCTATTGATTTTGATAAAAGACTTCTTAGTTGGTCGTTAACAAAGAGTACGGGTGAACTCAAAGTTATCTAGCTGGGTAACCGTGCCTGGTGAAGTGCCCCAGGGTACAATTCTAAGGCCAGTGCTATTCCTCTTGTATGTAAATGATTTTCCTCGTCTCCTGTCATTATCGGTCTTGCCATGTACTGACGATGTCAAGATAAGGAGAGCGATACAATGTAAGGGTGATAGCTTAGAACTCCTAAATTACCCGAAAAAACTATCTGAATGGTCTCAAACCTGGCAGTTGCCGATAAATACTTCCAAGTGTGTTGTGATGCATATAAATCATCAAGATACAGATACATACAAGATAAATAACACTGAGCTACCTGTTGTCCAGACACAATGACTTAGGAGTCATCGTTATCCAAGACTTAGAGACTACTGCGCGCTGCCGTGCATTAGCCGACAAAGGTTTTCGAACCTCATGGTCAATACGTAGGGCTTTTAGTCATGTCGAGGCTAAAACGTTTTTGACTTTGTATACAGTGTCCGTACTTCCTAAACTTGAGTACTGCATACAAGCGGCTAGTTCCTGCTTAAAAAAAGACAGTGAGCTTATGGAAAAGGTTCAGAGAACAGCAACTAAGCTGATTCCCGGAATAGCGAAGCTCCTGTATGATGCTCGACTGGCCAAGCCAAACCTATTCCCGTTGTCTTATCGTAGAACTAGAGGCGACTTGATTACAATTTTCAAATTGCTGAGTGATAAGTTTGCACCTGATATGCCCTCGTTTTTCTTGTCTTTCAAAACAGGGAATTTACGATGACACTCCAAAAATGTTCACAAGCCAAAAACAAATTACTTGTCAGTTAACTACCGAATTTCTCATCGAATCATCAACGATTGGAATTCATTACCTCAGCACGTGATTGAGGCTCCATCCGTCTACTCTTTCAAAAGGAAGTTGAATCAACTGAGAGACCAACATTTCCAGGACTAACACAGGCCATCAAGCCTCCTGTCCTTTCTAAAATAAAATTGAAAACCGTAACGCAGCATATAGTACTGAATAAATCTTCAAAATAAATAGTTCTCTAGGTCTTCTACATTTGATGCTGACCATATTAGTTTTACTGGAATCACCTAGCTCAATGTGCTTGGCCTTACAAACGCACCAGACCACGAGTGGATACGCCGCGCTACCCATCTCCTACGAGGGTTAGCCAGCTTAGACCAAACGTTTATCGAGTTATCTGTAGACTTTCAAATATGTCTTGGAACTTCTTCATTTCTGACTTTGAGTTGATTGGGTTAGCATACTTTGATTATAAAGGTGTCATGTGTAAGGGTGTCGTCAAACTCCGAATATTTGTAACACCTTTAAACACTGTTTAATATTAGAAGTAGATTGGGAGTCGTTGAACTGAGCAGCTATAGTTATATTTCATTTGCGCTCACTCCCAACCATATCGGCCCTATTGACTACGATTTCGGAAGCGCTCTTCGCGCGAACGCAAATAGTCATCTATAGGATTCCGCTTTTGAACTTCAGGTCACAAAACGGTTAACTGATCGCCACACGTAATTACACATATATGCACATGAAGGTTGACTTACGTAACCCTATACACTGAAGTTCTGTTGTCGCAGACGCCTCATTGCCAACATTGGCTGTGACCCAACAGGACACCATAACCTTCTATCCCACCCTAGTAAATGGAGCTTGACGAATGGTGACTCAAAACTCCTTGCTTGTGTCAGTTTTGTTCGCTGATCACAAGTTATACCACATTCGAACCTCACGCATCATGTATCGATTGAAAATATGAGTCGATTATAGGTATATACAACAGAAAAAACCCTGCTCAATAAATTTACGCGTGCGAACATTATCGTTTCACACAACATCATGACCACAGGACAACCCATATTCTACAAGGCACGTTTGTCAACCTCTGTACATCGTAGATTGGGAAAGAATAGATTATTACACGTGGTTGACTTCGGATTACAGTAGTCAGTAAATTGTTATTAAATATCTACGTTGAGTACAGCTCTCATGAACGGTGGTAGTGATTAACGTAACACAGGCAAACGTTGTAGACCAAATACGAAAATCAGTCTGGTATTTTTTTCCCTGACCCAAATTGACGATTTAACTCCGCCTGTAGCTCCTCCAGAGTTACTGAAAGTGGAAGAACTATGGTAAAGACTTGATCAATGAAAGTGTAGTGTCGATTATTATGTTAAGCCCATATACCTTATTCTAGCTTTCAAACAGCTCATTCTATTCATTTTACTTGAGTCACATTCTGACCTTTTATTTATTCGCTTATCAATCTTGACTGTTTTTATATGAGCGCGTAGGTGTGTGTACACTTCTTATCCCATTACTCATCACATGTCTGTAAATTATTTTTGTGTGCCTATAAATGTTGATTAACGCTTGACCAAAGGGGAGTTGAATTACCTGCCATCTCCACTCTGCATCCTTTCTCTTCTCTCTATTCCATTCGCTTTATATACACAATATATGTATTCACAAGTCCATTCTCGTTATTTGACTTATTTAATTCCATTATTGACTAACGCGATTTAAGTCGATGATTATATACGAGGGTAGGCGACATATATATTTCAATAACATTCATTCATACGATTGCCTTGGAGTCAGATTCCGGGTCACTGAAGTGGAGAAACCTTTCGACAACATCGCTCGATCTAAATGACCATTAAATAACGGGCCTCCACAACATATTTAGTCTCCAACTTAAGTTATTTACAAATAAAGCCCGGGGGAAGAATGTATTTACGCTTTATTTAGCGTTAGTTATTTGCCTAACTCCGCCTGTAGCACTTCCTAAGTTACTACCGGTTCCACCTTCGGACAAGGGAGAAGGGTTTGGCACGGGGTCAGCAACGTCATCCCGTAGAACACGATATTGCTAAAACGCCCTAACCAGAATAAACAATTCAAAGCATTTAAACTTTATCGGAGGAGTTCAAGGAAATTTATTTAGAAGCATTATAACCTATGGTGAAAGTCGGGATTCTTTGGATGTCACGGGGCTGTTCTCTTTTCTGACAACCAGAGCAACGACTAATTTAGGTGTACAGAATGTCCAGACAATGTGGCAGATTAGGATAACCAGTCATATAGCTGTGGAAATAAAGAGGGCAATTGGACAGAAAATATTAGATTCAGGAGAGGTGCTGTTGTAATGTGGTCATGAAGAATAAAGTGCTCCTCATACGCAGAGAGTTGCTTTGATGCTATACAATAAAGCATGAAATGCATTTATAGGGTTAGAATCTCATGTGTCCAGGATCATCACAGCATTTTGAAATAAAGAAGGAGGGGATTATAATGAATGTTATCCAGTGCTAGGAGCTCACCAATGACGGTACTGGAGACGATTAGGATCAGTTTTAATAAATGCTGTAGTCGACCTTAGAGGAACCCAAGAAAAAGAGCTGACCATGCTGAATGAGGACCTAAACTCCAAGGGGTTTGTAATGATATCGGTTTTACGCCACACTATCTTTGAAGCTGAACATAAAAAACTGAGAAAATTGACACTCAACATTTGACACGAAGAGAAGGTCAAAGATGATGATTGCACAAAAAATTGATTTCTATGGCATGGCTCAGTCATGTTATATAAGTTAAGTAATATTGGGATTGAAGACTTCCTAATTAGGCACCAACAAGAAGTGAGTTTGGACTGGCAGTTGTTTGTGCTTAGCGGAGCGCCTCATGGTACACTTTGGGGGCCATTGTTGCTCCCCGAGGTACAGATACATACACGGTGAATAATAGTGAGCTACCTATTTTCCAGTCATACCGTGACCTAGGGGACATCGTTGGCCAAGACTTACAAGCTACTCCACACTACTGTGTGATAGTCGCCAAGGGTTTTAGAGCTCTATTGTCATTACATAGAGCCTTTAGCCATGTTGACGCTGAAACCATTTTGACTTTGTGTACGGTGTTCGTTCTTACTTGAGTTGAGTACTGCAGCACGCGAACGCTCTTAAAAAGTTCACAATCCCAGAACAACTGACTGTCGACTTTCTCATCGAATCACCAACGAATGAAATGCATTACCTTATCACATTGAACGTCAGCGCTGACTTGGTGTACCGGAAACTGCTGCAACTAAGGAAAGACACGTCTCCTGGCCTGGACACGGTACATTCTGCTTTACTTAGGGAAGCAGCTTGAATCCTGGCAGCACCGCTTAGCGTGATGTTCTCACGCTCGCTAAGCAGAGGCAAACTACGGGAAATTTGGAAGCTGGCTTACATCACACTGATTTTCAAAGAATGTTGAAACTTCAAGACACTATACCTTCAAAAAATTATGGAATCCCTGATATGCGACGGTATACACGACTATCCCTAAACTTCTTTTCACCCCAATAACATGATTTCAGGAAAGATCATTCTTGTATAACCAACCTGCTGATTGAGGTTGGGAGATGGACAACCATGCTTCATCGCAAGAGAAAAGTTGACGTCATTTACCTTGACTTTTCAAAAGCTTTTGATAGAGTCAACCATATATGTCTTATCATTAAGCTCAAACGATTATGTATCAAACCACCTCTGAATGACTGGCTCACTTCATATCTGAAAAACCGACATTTTAAAGTCAGAGTTGATTTCACTTTCTCTCAGGTGATGGAATATCTTAGTGAGGTCCCCGAGGGTTTAGTACTAGGACTTCTTCTTTTCTTGATTAATATAAACGATCTTCCACAATAGATATCGTCAGACATTACTTTTTGTCGACGACGTGAAACTTTAGAAAGAGATACGCACCGAAGAGGATATACTAGCACTTCAGGAGGATCTGACTCGAGTTCAAAAGTGGGCAGACGACAACGGACGTACCTTTAACACTTCATAGTGTAAAGGAGTCCATCTGATACATGTTGCAGACTACAGTCACAACTTAGAAAACTCCTCTCTAGAAGTATCCCAAGTTGATAAAGATTTAGGAGTTCTGGTACCCTACGACTTGAAGTCTTACTCTAACTGTGACAAAAATGCTTTCCGAGTAAACCTTGCTCTGGTAACATTTAAGCGCATTTTTGGCCAGTTTGACGGAGGAACTTTTCATATAATCATCAACGATTTTAGTCATCCCTATTTAGAATATGGAAACATAGTATTTCTTCCCTCACTCCAAAAGCATAAGAACACACTGGAGCGTATCCAACAGCGATCCAAAAAATCAGTTCAGGGAATCAAATTCAAGCCTTATGAAGAGCGCCTCCAATGAGTAAACCATTACACATTAGTGTATAGGCGTCTTAGAGGTGACCTTCTAATGGCTTACAGCACCCTTAACACTTCTGGACATCCCCTTAAACACCTACTTAAGTTTAGCTCCAACATAAACCTAAATAGAAACACCCAGAAACTAGAGACACAACACAGCAAGACGGACTGTAAGCATAACTTCTTCTCCTTAGGAGTTGTCAGATGCTGGAATTCGTTGCCGGCTGAGCTACTCCAAGCGACTTATCAGGAGTACTTTAAGAGGAATCTTGACATATTCTTAAGGACTAAGGATAATATCCTACTATAACTTTTCAATTTCTTTTTCCTCTATTACCTTTAACATACGTAGGTTTCTGCCTGGAGGTATTGGTGATCCCCTGCTACTAGACACGGATGCCCGTTAAGTGAAAGCTTCTTCTATTCCGTCCACAACCATTTGAACATAATTGATGCCCCATCAATCAACGCTTTCAAAATACAGTTAGATCAACCGAGAGACCACTATTACCAGAACTAACACAAGTAATCCAGCATCTCGTCTTTTCCAATCTGAAACTGATTGGACAGTACATCCCGCTGCGTATAATTAGTGCGTAACATTGTGAGCTAACGGGTGCTCAGTGTCGACGCATCAATTTGACTACAAATTTGTTCAACATTTGATTTCAGTTTGGCCATTCAATTTATTGTCTAGAATTGTTGTTTATTTTTACGGGTGCGTTAGCATGAAACAGTTATGCGAATGAATTACGATTAACCAGTCGTAATTGACTAGTTTAATTGGGATGCTGACACATTTAAATGTTATTAAATGTCATGAGAACGTTTTAATAAGCGCCGTTGAAATACATAGTCAACAATTGAACTGTTCTAAGCTCACAAAAATCCATGGGGCCAAAATTCATTAGCATTTAAATATACTTACTGTGGTTATGACTCTTAATAATAATAATCTATACTTTTATTGCAGATTCAGCCCATCCATTCTTGTCCTAAAATCAGTCGGAGCTTTTTGAAAGACGTGATTAAAAGCAGGTTATTTATTCTGAGACCGCGGTGAAAATGCGCTGTAGGTCAACGAATATTTCCACCCTTCAAGAAGTCTTGCATGTGATTCATCACCAATTAGTCAATATTTTTATACGTTCTATATAAAATCCGACAACCTGGCGTCTGTCAAAGCCTGTTATTGTGTTTTACTTGACTGTTCCTTTGGTAGCGAATCGCTCTTCATAGCTATAGCCTTACATGTTCAGCGTTTAATAATGGGTCGTCAAGGTATTCATTGCCACGCTAACTTAAGGAAAGACTTCATTTGTCATCTCGAGGGTTGGGTTTTAGCCTATATTTCTGGCCAAGTGTATTGTCACTTCATATATAACAGCTTTTTAATATTTAAAAGCCTTAATCTACAGTTGTGAACAATTTTAAAACAGTGTATAAAGTCCTCTCTTAGAGTGACTTTTTTGTAAGTATATGTGGTGGCTAGAAATGATCAAGTAACTTTGAATAATTTGCAGACTAAAAGTTCAGCCCACATTTTCTAAACGTTCACCAAATTTCCATGGTTTAGACGCAATCCGAAACTACAGACGCGTTTATTTATTTTCTGGTGATTTACTTATATTGCAAGGTCATCATATACAACAACTAAAGTCATATACTGTTTGTCATGCCCACCTTCAAAGTGTTAATGTAATGGTTTTTAACAACCATGCGTAGTATTTATCCTTTATTTCTTCCAAAATGTGAAGATTTCCGAGGGACTGTAGATGTACCAACAAGTATTGTAAATTATGAATATAGTCTTCGTATAGCTACATTTTATAAGATGAGTTACTTAATTGTAGAGCTTTCACTGTCTTTCTGGACAAAATGAACATAAACTTCATATAGAAGTGAGGTACTAGAGTATCTTCGCAAGTAATTAAGGATGTGTTTAAGGATGAAAATATGTAACAACCAGTAAACATAAATCCAATTTTTAAAAAATGCGATAATCACATCATTAGTAGTTTAAAAATATTAATCGAAGTATAACAGATACCAAAACAAGACCAGTAACAAGTGAAAAACAATAGACTTCTATAGTATGTTGAAACTGTGCAAGACAAAGAACTTCAATACAACTAATTATATTACTTATTAGGGCCCAGACACTAAATCTGTCAATAAGATATGGTTAAAGACATTCAAACCAACTGAAAGAAGTTGATGGTAACATTTGGCGACGCAGTCTTTTTTGCTTCAGTTAAAGCAGAGCTAGTAAGAGACATTGTATTCTTGCTCCTCACCAACAATACAGATCTTCCTAAATCTACAAGGTTAAGAATTTTGGTTCCGTTAAACTCACGGATTTATGTCTAGCAGTATATTTCAAATTTAACATTTAGATAAATAAAGATACAGAACTGTAACTGGTCAGTTTTGTTTGAAATTCAATTGAGGAACATAAGATCACAACCTCAAATAAATATGTGGTCAGACTTTTTAAAATGTATTGTGCTAATATATTACATAGTTTTGACAAAGTGATTTAATTACATTATCTAAATTTATCAAGACTAGTTTTCTTTTTAAAATTTCAATGTTTGGTTATTTCCATAACGTCTCTGTGTTACATTTCTTTTTCAGACTCTAATACTTTTGCGAACATAACCTAGATGCGTTCAGTACCTTTACGATCTTTCAATGACTTTTTAGGCTTTGGCGCTCGATTCAGTATACCCAGAGAATGTAAATGGAATGGACGAATGGTTTCAAATCTAATTTATTATCAGTCGAATTACTTTTTGTTAAGCTTAGTTATAATAATGTTACTCAGGTAATACATGATTAAGTTTCTAAAATATTTTTTTTATAGCGCGCTTAATCCAATTTCCGTTTTAACAGGACTTCTTGTGATATGCCTACCCTTGATGATCCTCCTGTTTTTAGATACACAAACCCTTAACACTATTAACCAACCAAAGATACTTGTACCTGTATGTATTGTCATCGCCATGTTACTGATTCGTTTCATATCTGGAATCATCTTTTTCTCTTGTGTTCTACTTGTTCCAGTACTAAGTAAGTTTCAATGTGAAATAACTATAGTGATTAAAATCAGCAGTATGCCTTCATGCCCTCTGTAGACAACGTAATTTAAAAAACAGAGTTTGTAAACTTGTGGAATCAGTTCGCTCTGGAGAACAAAAGACACTAATGGGATATATACTGGAAGTATTTGGTGTAGATGTACGACTGCTTACTATTGATAATTAATTGAAGATCATCTTGATTAAAGATGCATCTTTTCATTGAACAACTCATTTCGTATTATCTCATTCTTATTACTGTTGCTTTCCTCATAAATGAAATACTCCTGTTGTTCCTGTGAACTTTAGACTTATTTGTTGCATGCATACTTCACCAAATAAGTTTTAACTCGTCTCAGAAATATACATACGTTGATTGTAACCGTTATTTCTTCCGCGTATATACAGGCTGGAACTCAGTAAGTCGTATCTTAGTCTAAGAACACTGTATTCAGTCGCGTGATTCCAAGTCATCGTTCACTTGTGCAAATGATGTTTACTCGATAAAAGGTTGTAGACATCTGATTGTATAATGTGTTAGAAAGACTGAAAACGTTGCAGTGTTTTACGACAGCTTAGCTTCAAGCGAAAGAGACCATTATACATAACAGTATTACCAATATATTTTCGTAATTCATTGCAGCTATATAGGGGCGAAGAGAATAAGCATAAACAGAAGTGGTTGGTAACATAACCCTAATCAAGAATGCTACATAATTGGGACTGTTCTGCCTCTCTAACATCCTACTTTGATCTTTTTATGATCGCTTTGCATCAATCGATAATTCTGGGTTAAACAAATCAAGGAGAGCAGAGAAGTGATTACTTGTAGTTTATTTATGACAAAGTTGAATAAAAACAGGAACGGTGGACAACTTTGAAAAATGCTAACTGAAGTAAAGAAACCCAGATGTTCATTTGCCTCAAGACAATCTGACCACGAGTATTCGTATAAACATTTTACGTTTACGGCCCTTTGAACACTATTATTACAGGGGGTCTCAATTAGTAACCCTCCGTATCGCCTTCAGATCAAGAAACAACTAGGATCTACAGTCCTAAAGTACTGTAATGGTCCATATTCTGCTCAGTGCTAGCAGATACGACAAAATTACCTGATATTTCTGAGCTTCGGTTAAGTATTATGCTAATACGTTGTCTAGAATCTTAGCTGGTTAACATATTGTAATGAGACTATGATTCCTTCTTGTCAACCGGAACTAATAGCGACTGACTGACTAGATGAGCTTACCGTGAATTTACAAAAGAAGTCAGTTTTATTAACAACTTCAAACTATCTTTTTTCAAAATCCTTTGGAGTTAGCCCGTTAGGTTTTGCTACTCTACCTCTCCTTAAGATTGTTGTGCTAAAATCCCAGTCTTGAGTTTGAAGAAAAGTCTGCAATAACCTAGCCGAGCCCGCTGACACAACAGCTACCTGAAACACTCAACTTACATAAACTAATTACTAGACCACAAAGCATACCAAATAAAAAGGCATACTTTAGACAGAGTTATAAGTGACAGAAAGCGGAGCAAACAGTGTATGATTAATTAGCAGTAATGGAGGAACAGTGAAAGGCATAATAACTGATAGGTTTACTGAAAGTTTACAATAGAGATTATGGCAAAGTTACCTACTAACTACACAACAAAAATCCGGATTGTTCCAACTTTTCCCACACTTCATTCATCGTAACAAAGACCTCTAGAAACGTTTTACAGTGCTAGAACTGGAGCCTTGTTATGACGGTTGGTTTCCCACGTCTTTACGAATGAGACGTTCATTTGCCTCAGTTTGACTAATATAGTGTCTAAAATATTAGCTTCAATAATACTTCGAGGCCTATCCAAAGCTCGTGAAGAGCGGACTAGAGAAAATCAGGCCGGTTTTCGACCTGGACATGGTTGTATAGGTCAGATATTCACACTACGTCAGGTTCTAGAACACAAACACACATTCAGATGCCCCACAATGGTAGTATTTCTCGACTTTAAGGCGGCATTCGACTCTTGATCGTGAGGTCCTATGGCAGTCTTTGCCACTGAAAGGAGTACCAAAGAAGTACATTAACCTTATACAGGCTCTCTACTCGAACACAACTGGTAGAGTGAGAGCTTATGGCGAACTGTCATCAGAATTGATTACCTCAAGTGGTGTTCGTCAGGGCTGTCCACTCTCTCCATTCTTGTTAAACTTTGTCATTGACGTACTTTAAGAGGTAACACTTTCCTCATCTAGATTTCCAGGGGTTGAACTTCTACCGGGAGGTTCACTTGTTGACTTGGAACATGCTGATGACATAGTTCTATTTGGCGACAAAATGCAGTCTTCTGACCACTCTAAGCAACAATGCAAGCATGTTCGGGATGCGATTCTCTCCCTCGAAATGCAAAATGATGCTTCAGGATTGGGTTACATCGACACCCGAACTAGTGATAGGGAGTGAAGTAGTTGAGTGTGTCGATCGCTTCACTTATCTTGGAAGTCTCATCAGCCCTTGTGGTCTGGTGTGTGACAAAATCTCAGAACGAATACAGAAGGCTCGACTAGCTTTTTCCAACATGCGTCCTTTATGGCATAGGCGAGATATCCATCTATCAACCAAAGGACGTGTTTACTGCTCAGCAGTTCGTCCCGTCCTACTTCATGGCAGTGGAACATGGCCGGTAAGAGTAGAGGATATTCGTAGACTACTAGTATTTGATCATAGGTGTCTTCGAAATATTGCTCGTATATCCTGGAACCATCGAGTAAGTAACGCAGTTGTTAGGAAACGAGTACTGGGTAAGGATGGCAAATCGATTGGTGAAACTTCATCAGTTGAGATGGCTGGGACACGTGTTACGTATGCCCAACGACTGACTGCCTCGACGTGCGATGTTCAGTGGTATAGGAGTAGGTTGGAAGAAAGCTAGGGGTGGCCAGATCAAAACATGGCACAAGTCGATGAAGTCACTGACAAGTGGTCTGAGTCATGTCGGTAGGTGTAGACTACCTGGTTGGGGACCGCGAGATGATAGCAACCGATGGTTAGAGACCCTGAATGACATGGCTCAAAGTCGTTTGCAATGGCGCAGGTGCATCCACTCTTTATGTTCTCCCAAATTTTGATCTCCTTATCTCTTTTTTTCTCTTCCCATATTTATTTCACTGTATTATACTCTTTAAATAACATCTCCAAACACTAATCTTCCCGATTACTGCTTATACTCTTATTACCTCTACCACTACGGGATTTGAATCGACTACTGCATCTCTGTGCTAATGTACGTACGTACGTACGAAGTTCTACGTTGTTACTGACTGACTGCCTCAGACGAATATCTACACGTCTCCCTTATACTGTCTATCCTACAGGACTTCAACACGACTCAGATAACAAACACGTCAATAGCCTGACTGTAACATAAATATATTTCCATACCAAAAAACCGACACAATCCAACAATAATAATAGCAGGATATATAACTCATTTATCTACAAGTCTGAGTAAGCAAACAACCAATCATCCTCGCCCACACATCAAAACTTTAGGCGAGTAATTTATCCAAGTCGTTAGTAGGCAAAAGAGAACAAACGACCCTTTGTTGTTACGGTGTTACACCCATCATTTCAGTATATAAGTCTGGTATAACCACTGATTTTCTTCTCCGAGGTAGCCTCATATCTTTATAATTTGGAACTTCGTATCGTTTGCCTTCATCTATATCCATTAAACATATTGGGGATACACCTATCAATAGCACTGACAGCCGTCCCAACATAGCATTTTGTGGGTTGTGACCAGTATTTACCATTGTTTCGAAACAGAGTGGAGACTAGACTTTCCCTCCACACTAGTATTTCCTAAAAAAACACTGGGTATTTTAGTTTCAAAATTTCTTGAAAGTTATTCCAGATGTTTTAAATAGCCTGGAGTCTTGTCCTAAAATAACGAATGATTTCTAGTGGCAATATGTATTTTATCGATTTGACGGCCAACAAGTTATATTTCTTTAGATCAGAATCCTACTTGTTTACAACGAACGGTTGTCAGGGATTGACTATACCAAATACTTAACATTATTCTCTCATTGAGGTAGGCAGACAAAAGTCGTAATGAGATGACTGTTTGACGTAATCCTGATGCATTTCACTTGTTCGTCTGTCCTTATGTAAATCTGGAAGCTGGTGACAGAAATTCCCCCTTATTTTTTTTCAAACTCTGTCCAACAAAAGTATAGAAAGATTCTAAAGAACAGGTGATACATAATATATCGAGCTTTTTAGTTAATGAAGTGGCAATCAGTTCGGAAATGCACAGGCAACTGTTAAGAGACAGTTCACAGGTGAATGGTTTGTTTTCAAGCTTAATTCCATATCTACTCATGTTGGTATTGAATATTCAGATAATCAAGGAGTTAGTAGTTTGGGGTCACCACGATATAGAGGTAAGATTAAGTGGATGACCATAGCTTAGTTCTGTTTGTATGTGTCAGAAACACAACATACTTTTCTGATTTTGAATTTCACATCCGAACATCTTGAATTACTAAAATTTATTACACATTTGAAAAACGGTGGTGAGTGTAGATTAATCTTAATTCAGTTTGTGTGGTCAGTTAGTATAATATCCCTCACCCTTAGCATGTGGCTCGTTCCTAATTACCTGTTGGATTGATGTAGTATAGACTAACGATGAGAATGATGTAAGGAACGAAGTGGGGAAGTAATGAAGTATGGAACGGGACTGTGACTTGATCACTTAGAAGTAAAAGCTTGATATAAATGATCAGGGTTGATGTTCCACAAACCTGTGATCATGGTCGAAAACCCGACGGGAGTTTTTGACGTTTGACACAACAAACGCAATAACTTTAACATAGGCGATTAGCACTTTACTATTGTGGTTGTTTTTTCTGTGACTTATACTTTGTGCCATTCTTTGTTAGGCACAATCAAACAATACATATAATCAATACATAGCTCTCTTAAACATCTGAACTCGTTATCGTTTACACACAACAGTAACGTATGTTGAACTTAAGTTTTTAATTCAAATACGGTATTATAATTATGTCTCGAGGTGGAACCGAAATGTCAGTTAAGTAATCTGGTTGTTGTGCAATATGATTATTTGGCAGGAAACATACATACCTTTTTCATGACTTAAACAAAAGCCACAGAAAAGGCAGTTAGTAAGACGGAGAACTTGCAAGCGACTTCTCAAGTTAGATGCGACGATTTACGCATTGCAATAGCTGATAAAATAAACATATTGAATTACTTTCAATATTCTTTTAACCGAAAAATAACAGCGTTTTATTTACAGAGGTATGGATGGAAGTAAAAGTATCAAAGAGTCACATAAAAGTCGGATCAAAAGTGGTCAGAAAAC